GACTTGACAGCACTTAACAACAACAACAACATGGTGCAAATGGTCAAGGTACTCAGCTGCTAATTCAAGGTTGGCAGCTCCTGTCCCCCCAGGGACATCTGGGAAGAACAGTCCATGGAGCACAGTCCTATGGTGGCACACGTGGAGGCACCATGAGTAGGAACCAACAGCAAGTGGTGACGTAATAAAAACTAGATCTAACTCTTTCTCCATCAATGAGCATGCGTTACTGTCTTTAAGCTCGGAGGCTACAGCGTAGTGGTTACGAATCGGGCTGCGAACCTTAGGGTCAGCGGTTCGAAACTACCAGCCGCTCCGCGGGAGAAAGATGAGGCTTTCTACTCCCTAATGTGGCCTAATGTGCTGGACTGCAAAGTCGGTTTGAACCCCAAGGTTGGTGGCTCAAGCTCACCAGTCACTCCCTATACAGGGTTGCTGTGAGTCAGAATCAACTCAAAGGCACTTAACAACAACTTCTGATACGGATAGTCTGATATAGATCGTCCTTTCTTTTATTAACTGCCATACTTGAAACATCAACGATGCTTTATTATTTATGACTCTGCTACATTTTTGAAAAACAAATCCCTCTCTTTTTGCTTTTCTCAAGCTATATTTGTGTTACCAACCATTTGTTAGCTCCCAGTTCCTACACCCTTAAAACCAGAAAGCGAGTGAACAACAGTGAAAATAATCAATGAACTAGAGCCTTGTCAGCATGGGGCAGGAAGCCATGCTAAGACCAGACTCGGTGGGAGGGCAAGGAATGTACACTCCACTTCTCCAGTGATGAGGAGAGGCCAGAAGCAAAGCCGACTCCAGAGGCCACGTGCAGAGGAAGGGACGCGCTCACAGTTGGGGATGAGGATGCTGCCTTCTCCCCACAAACGGCCTAGCCAGGGACTGCCTAGAGAATCGCAGGGCAAGAGTGGAAGCAAAGATAATGGCAGTCTAATCTCAGGGGGAAAAGGCACAGAATGTAAGAGGAGGGGCACACCTGGTCTGGGCCCCCCATGCACCCAGAAATGGCCCTAAGACCTGGGAAAGAATGGATTTAATCATCATCCAGGCAAGTGGAAGGGCAGACCACCTGAAGGAAACCAGCAAAGAAGGAGGTCCCAGTCAGGGCACACAGAGATGGCTCCTTCATGGAGAGTATAGACTCTCTCCTGCAAGCCCAGCCATGCTACTCAGCTTCCGGAGCTACAGAGCACCTAAACCCAGGACCTGCCTGGGGGAGAGTCAGTACAATAAAACTCACTGTCAGATTGACCTGTGAAACCTAAAATACCCTGTTCTAAAAAGAACCAGCCAGATGATTTCTTACAATGGAAGCGCATGGCAACTTTGCTCAACTGGAGTTTGAGAATGAAAAAGGGTCTTCATCCCAAAGGGTGAGAGATGCTGTATTTCTGATCTGAAACGTCCCAGAGTTTTTACTTCATAAACAAGTTACCTCTTTAATGGCTTTAAAGGTGTCTTTCTTGCAGGCTGCTGAGGTCCTCCACTCAAAATAATGCACACATTCTGTGGCTGTGACAAACTCAGGAGTCCCCTATTGAAAGGACAATTTAAAACATGTTACCATAATTCATATCATAAGATTTTCTTTTTGACAGTAAGAACACACTCAAGACTAATGAAAATTAAGTAGCAACAAGCAGGGCGGGGGAGGTGGGGGGCGGGGGGAGAGAAAAAGAAGAAAACGTGCAACCATTTTAGTGAAACAAGGTCACCAAGGAGTTCCCAAACCCAAAAATCCTAAAAGAAAACGTTCACGAAATCACATTGGAATTTGGGTATGACTGGTCCAAAACTGTTCCACTGCCCCAGCTATGCAAGTACAGCAAACTCAGGGGAACTAATCCTCCGAGTCATTCGGCTCTCAAACTCCAAATGTTCTTGTAAGTAAATGCCAACAAAATCTGAGCCAGAAACGTGAAGTCATGCTTCCTGTGAGCCGAGGGCGGAGGCCCATCTGGATCTGTCTTCAGCGTGTACACCTAACAGACAGAGGCCCCAGCCTCAGCCTCACTGCAGGCATTCACACCCGCCAGAAGAGCCCAGTCTATGCTGGTCAACCACAATCAGCATTTCGGTGGCAAGGCAAGGCAAGGCGGGAACTCACCAGTACACTCTCCCCTGTGGAAATTGACGGTCTCACCTTCAAAACCCTGTTCTTGTATCATGAACACAGATGTCTAATTTAGCTACCATTCAAATTGCAGCTAGCTTTCTCTGTCAGATAGATCTTCATGGTGTACACCACCGCAAACGTGTGGCTGTGCCGTTAAAGGGCTGACTCAGCATTAACACTGTTACACTGTCTTTTTAAACCTTTTATTGTGAATTGGATGATGTTATAATACCAAGCAAATCCGTTTTCTGTTCAGCCACTCCAACACTTTTGTTTCACATCATCGATTGCAATCCCCACAATGTAACATCACATACCCTGCTTCTTTCCTGTGTTTGCCGCTTCCATTCCTCTTTCTTTTCTACCCCCTTCCTGCCTTCTGAACTTTATCTTGGGCAAAGGCTGCCCTTTTGATCTCAAATGATGAAAGTTCTGTAAATGAAGTGTCATGGGCCTGAAGGCACTATAGTCGAGGCATCAAATTCTAACTTGAGATTTTAAAATGATTTGGCGGCCAGTAGAGTTCCCCTCAACCTGCATTTTCTAAACACTTAGATTCCTACTTTGATGAGAATACACTCAAAGGATCTGCAGACACACTGCTTCTCCTGAAAGCTAGCAATTACTTACTGAAAGCTCCTTTCTAAACATGAAAAATTAAAAACAACAAATCACATTCAATACACACAGAGGAAGAACAGGCATCACACTTTACGCAATTAAATCTCCTTTCGACACTGGGTCAGAATAAAAAAGCTTGGGAACTCACCCACTGGCCAAGACTGCTGCTAAATAGATGTTGGTCTCTCCAATTTAATGTAAATGGGGGGGGGGGGGGATAACCAGTTGTTAAAAATAAACACATGGCCCTAAAACTTGTCAAAATGAAATGCTGGGAGAAGAGGTTTTAGAAATTATATTTTTAAAAAAATGTGCCTGCGGCCTGCACATGAAGCTCTAACACCCTAATCAGTTAGAACTGTAGACTTACACAGGGTCAGGGTTAAATTTCACTTCAGAGATTTAACTGTAGGCTTGGCATTTGTTTACTGGTTCTTGATAGTGATGGTGATTTGGTCGGGGTGTTTGTTAATGCTGTTGGTTCTGTTCACTTCTTCTCTCTGGAATATCTCTGTAAGAAGAACACCCACGGGGCCCACATTTTTAACAAAAGAAATACAGAAAGCGACTCTGTGGACTCACCAGGGTCTTCCCACACAGGAAAGTGATGCTGCTCTGGACTTTGTGATTTGCGCCTGGTTGCTCACAACTCAGTGTGGTGTTGAATTCCAAAAGAGATCTGGTTCCACTTTTCAAAGGAGTGTCACCTATTAAGAGAAGACAAGAGAATGAACAAGCTATAAAACATATGTAACCTTAAAATTATGTCCAAGGATAAGCAAATTAACAGTGGCACTATAATTCATCGGCCAGCTTAGATACTTACACCTCTCACAACTATTAAAACCACCACCATCTCGAGCCTACATGCTCACTACTATTAAAATCACCACCATCTTTTGCCTGTATTCTCACTGCTAGTAAGACCACCAACGGCTTGCGTCGGTATTCTCGTCTTCTCATCAGTCCCCTTTCACAGGAGACAGATGAGCTGTTTTGCCCCCATAAAGATTTATAGCCTCAGAAATCCTAACAGGCTTGTTAGGAATCAGAACCAACTCAAAGGCACTTCACAACAGCAACAAACAACTGGCCGCCCTGCTTCTGTTCTTATCTCACTGCTCACCCATGCTCCTCCCCCAACCATCTTGCACCAGGGTCATCTCCAAAACAAAACTCACAATATATAACTCTGCTGTTGGGACCCTTCATTAAACTGCCAATCACACACGTTGTGAGATGAGAATTCCTTAGCCTTGTCCACATTGAGGGTGACCACAGCTCAGTCTGAAACATGACTGGTGCACTCCAGTTGTCCTAGAGTAATGAATTATAAGAGCTCTCACTTTGACTCTCAGAAGCGTCCCAGTTGGGACGACAAACTCTGTGCTCACCTTCTCTGTAAGTCCCTACAAGCCTAACATTCTATCCGTATCTCCTACAGTCTCTGCCGAACTCACTGCCCTTCAACCACTTGGCCCTACATGCCAACCTTTGCGCTTGCCACTTCATTGCTTTAGAATGTTCCTCTAATCTGCCTTCTAACTTCATTTCTACAAAGCAGCCCCCAGTTGTCCAAGTCAGTCCCACTACTAAGTTGTCTTTCTTTCGTCACACTATTATCCAGAATTGTCTTCCATTTCTGTTTATCTGTTGCCTCTCTCTGACAATGCAAGCTCCATGAGAATGAACATTCTGTCTGCCTTGTTCACTTTTGTATCCTGAGACTTAAACCAACACTTAAAGTTCTGATGGTGGTGGTGGTGGTGGTGGTGGTGGTGGTGGTGGTGGTGATGTGCCGTGAAGTCACTAGGTATTAGTTAAACATTTATTGAATAAATCCCAGCTCACCATCATTCTTCTGGGTAGATCTGTAGCTTACGGATTTAAAAAACAAAAAGTTACAGAACAGGAAGACTGTGTGTGTGAAGTAGAAGAGCCCATGTATGAATGTTTGTTGTTGTTGTTGTTGTTGTTGTTGTAGGCTGCTGATAACACTGTGCCAATCCATCTCATTAAGGGTCTTCCTCTTCTATGAATGTTGTTGTTGTTGTTGTTATGTGCCGTGGAGTCAGTTTCGACTCATAACGACCCTGTACAGGGTTTCCGAGGCTGTAAATCTTTACGGGAGCAGAAAGCCTCATCTTTCTCCCGTGGAAGGGCTGGTAGTTTCGAACTGCTGACCTTATGGTTCGCAGCCCGATTTGTAACCACTACACTACCAGAGCTCCTCGTATGCACGTATTTTTAGGAATGTATATAATGATCTCTCGGGTTCCGTCCAAACTTAACAGTAACAACCCCAGGGGATTTCAAAAATGGATAAAGAGGCGGGAACTTTTAATTTTTTAATATCCTGCTGCTCTGTACTGTCTAAAATTGTGAACAGGCAGGAACATTTTTGGAATCAACAGCAACAAGAATGAAGTGCAAAATAATCCACTCTTGTTAGCATATGTGGCTCCATTTTCAGTTTTATTAATTGGGTGACATATGTAAAATGCTCTTAACAATTATCTGACATATTCTACGTGCTTAATAAATGTTAGCTACTGGTAGCAATCATGGTTAAGTTCTCATTTAGTCTAATATCTATTGATTTCAGCATTCCCTCAACAATGTTTTTAAGGATTCAGTCCTTACTATTACTCTTTCCTCTCTTTCCCTCTCGCTCGCTGCCTCTCTCACATACACACACACTCAAACACACACACATATTTCTCTGTAGAAAGAGAAAAAAATAATGTGGGAAACTGTACAGTCAGATAAGTTAGTGCTCCAGATGCACATTTCTGAGCTTTAACATAAGGGTCCCCAAGGCAAAGAAAATCCAAGTGGAAAGCAGGGAAAAGAGATCACAACGGAAATTAGTCAATGTCTACACTGGCTCGCCAGGTTCTTGTTCTCTTTAAATCACTTACAGCAATCTGCACTCTTGGGCTGCGGGTGGGGAGCTTCAGCATTGCCAGTGGGCTCCTCCTCCACAGCCCTCCACCCTTCCCCCCTCAGGCCCCAAGGTCTTGAGACAAGAAGACTGGGTCCTGCCTTCTCTCATTTGCACTGTCTGACAAAATAAACACCACCCACCCCTAAGGGCAAATGAAGCCAGCCGCCAAAGAAAATAAGATATTTGAGGAACACAACCATTTCAAAAGACAAAAAAAAAAAAAAAGTTGGGTTATAGATGGGACAGGATGAGAGCTATGAGAACAGGCATAAAAGAACCTCATAAACATAGTTTAAGAGATAAGAGAAGACATTAGCAATCTGAAACAAGGGTAAAAGAAGCAGAAATAATAGATCTAGAAAATATAACAGATGAAATTTCTGAAAACATTCAATAGATGGAGGATAAGAGAAAGGATTCAGCTGAGGAACAAACAGACAAGCTTTAAGACCAAATTGAAGTCATGTTCCAGAAGAAAGAAATGAAAAAAATCAAGAAATGGGATATACAAAAGAAAAAGCAAGACACAGGTTAAAAGTTAAAGTGCTGACATTCAGAAAATAGGAGGCTCAGAAGAAAAAGATGGAGAGGAAATAATGTTTAAAGGGGAAAAAAAGAAAATTTCTTTCTAAGTCCAAAAAATAAAGGGAGGTGGAAGAAATCCAACTGAGAGAAAATATAGCATGCCAAAGAGGAGAGAAAAAGAAAAACCCACACCTAGTTACATTATGTGAATTTTAACATTCAAAAGCAAAGAAAAATTAATATAACTTATGGAGAAAAAGAATAGATCTCAAGTAAGAGATAACCCAACAGAAACGTGGACATGGTACGAGCAGACAAAGTGAACAAAAGCATATGCCAATGACTACAAAGAGATGTTCGACATTATTGGTGATCAAGACATGAGAAAGCAACAGCATAATGGCATATCATTTATCACCATACCACTGGCAAAAATAAAATACTAAGTACTGGAGATGCTATGATCCAGAGCACGCCTACACTGCTGGTGGAAATGTAACTGGCGTAGCTTCTGCTTGATTCAGCGTGACATTATGTCCTATGACTGAATATTCATGTTCCCTACCATCTAACGACACTGCACTCCTAGGTAGACACACAAGAGAAAACCATGGCCAAAAAGAACAGATAACATGTAAAACAAGATCCCACTGCTGTTGGGTCGATTCTGACTCATAGCAATGCTACCTACAGGAGTGAGTAGAACTACCCTATCTATAGGGTTTCCAAGGCTTTCAATCTTTATGGAAGCAGTCTGCTTCATCTTTTGCCCCCAGAGGGGCTGGTGGGTTCAAACCACTGACCTTCTGCTTAGCAGCCTAACACTTAACCCACGGCACCACTGCGGGTCCTTTTGTGAAACAATGCCTAGTTCTAGTCACAATATTGCAGGATCATGGTAACAACCCAAACACCCCTCAACAGAAGCGTAGATAAATTAACTTTGATAAATCCACACAGTAGAATCCATCATTCATATAGCAGAACTGAACCACAGTGAAAGACAGAGATATGGCTGATTGTTAGCAATACAATATTGTTGTTATACTTCCTAAATATCTGCACATAAAATGATATACATTTTTCATAAAATTAAAACCTTTATATAGACACACATATAATTTTTGGAAATATCAACAGACATAGATGGGGTAGAAAAATGTTAAATACTGGATTCATGCTAATAATTACTTCCAGTGGGGGGGGGAGTAGAAGTAATTATTACTTATAAAGGAACTCAGTTAAACCAAAACTACTTCCATTGAGTCACTTCCAACTCACAGCCACCATGTATAGGGTTTCTGAGGCTATAAATCTTTACAGGAACAGAAAGCCTCATCTCTAGTCCATAGAGTAGCTGGTGGTTAGCAGTCCACTGCTTACTCTACAGCGCCACCAGGAATCCAAAAAAATTTTAGCTGTTACTTTGAAGGGCTGTCAAGGCAGTTGCAGCTCATAGCAAACCTACACATAGTTTCTGATGAGGGCTGGTAAGTTTGAATAGCCAATCTATGGTTAGCAGTCCAGCGTTTATCCTACAGCACCACACCAGGGCTTGAGAATACACATATTAGTTAGAGGTCATTGTCAAAGCCCTGGCTTTTGTTAGATGCAGGGTTCATTACATAAGCATGAATTTTACGAACAAAACAAAAAGCTCAGATTAATAATGGGTATGTTATGAAGTCGTGATTATGGCTGACTCAGTTTGATTCATACATCTGAGGTCTCACACAAAAAGAACACCTCTCCCCCACCCTATCAAACAGAGAAAGAAGAGCATGGGATTAAATTAAGACGCTCATGTGAGTTGAAGGGGCAGGGTAGCACACAGCACCAGGCTGATAACAAATTGGATCGTCACGGTTCTTTCTCCCGCCTGCGTATAAAGAGCTGCTGGGATCGTCCCCATCTGCCCGAAACTATGAGATGAGATGATGAGAAAGTGCCGTCGAGTCGGTTCCGACCCATAGCGACCCTGTACAGGGTTTCCAAGGGTGTAAATCTTTACGGGAGTAGAAAGCCTCATCTTTCTCCCACGGAGCGGCTGGTAGTTTCAAACCGCTGACCTTAAGGTTCGCAGCCCGTTTCGTAACCACTACGCTACCAGAAATGGTTTCTCTGTACTAAATGGTCAGGCAGCCTGCATCTGTTCCAGATACCAAGAACAGCAGCGCAACGCCCCGCCCACATGTGGGCGGTCAGAGGGCGTGCCGGGGGTGGGCTGAGTAGGCGAGTTGGAAGGTGGGGGGGGCTTCCGAATGACCTGCGACGCAATTCGGCGGAGAGCTCAGACTGCAGCGAGCAGCGGCGGAGGGCAACAACTGGGACTTCTGTGGTGGATCCAGCAGCCTGGGGGTTAGCCAACGGTCCGCTCCGGCGGACCCCGTCTCACCACTGAGGCGGTGATCCCCGGTGGTTGCCGAAAGGTTCCTGAGGCACTCCCTGTCGTGTGCCGAAGCCGTCCGGAAAGTGCAATCTGAAGAGCCCAGGCTCCTGGGCAGTGGTTCCAGGACGGAGAGGCGCTCCACGGCTGCTCCGGCGTCTGCATTCGAAATCCACTGCGTGGTCAGCAAGACGCTATCCCGCTGTCCCCTGGACCACGTCAGGACCCTTCATTTCCTCTCAACCTGCGGGTCGGGGTTTGCCCGACCAGAGAGCTGCGAAGACGCCACAGGGAATCGCCATACCAGGCGGCTTAGACCGCCCTCCTCGAACGGATGGCCGGGCACGGAGCGCCAGCCTCTCCGGGATCGGACTGGGTCTGCGTGCCGGACCATCGCCCCGGAGTCGCCGCGCTGAGACCCCTCACTACAGGCCACCGAGCCGCACCGTGCCACCGTCCCCTGAACTTGCCGAACGACACCAGGGACCCCACACTCCGGAAGCCTCACCGCCCCAGACCCGCCTAGACCGCGCCGGGGATACCTCACCGCGCCGAGAGCCCGCCCTCCCGGACGCCAGGGCCGCCTCGCTCGGCCCGCGCTCGCTAAGCCGCTCCTCCACCTCTCGGTCAGCTAAGCCGCACCGGGGCCGCCAGGACGGGGCCGCCACACTCCAAGCTGCTTCACCACACCGGGCCCGCCTAGACCGCGCCGGGGCCACCCCACCGCGCCGGGAGCCCCAACTCCGGAGCTCCAGGACCACCGGCCGCCTTACCGTACCAGTAGCGCCGAGACCGCGAGGGGACCACCGCGCTCCGACCCCGTCCCACCGGCCCGGGCCCACCACGTTCCCGCCGCCTCACCGCCCCGCGCCGGCAGCCCTCCCTCTGGAGCGCCTCCCTCTGGCCGCCTCACTGCACCGAGCCCGCCTGGACCGCGACGAAGCCCCCTCACCAACGCGGTCGCCGCGTCCCGGTCGCCTAACATCGCAGGTTCTGCCTAGACCGCGCCGGGGACACCTCACCGAGCTGGGTGCCCGCTTTCCGGGGCGCCGGGATGGTCCCACTCCGAGCCCGCCTCACCGCCCCAGAAGCCGTCCCTCGGGGCCTCCCGGATCGCGGAGCCCGCGAAGGCATTCGCACTCGGAGCCCTCGTCACCGCGCCGAGCCCCGGAGCGCGTCAGCGTGAGCGCGCCGCCGCACTTGGGCCGGTTCTCGGCGCCGGGGCTGCCTCGAGCGTGCCGGGAGCCCGCGCTCCCCGTCGTCAGCACGTCGTCGCCGTGGGAGCCCACCACGCTGGCCCGGTCTCCTCACCGGCCCGCCGCCGCCGCCCTGCCGGGAGCTCTGAGTCGGCAGCGCCGGGAGCGCACCACGTCGCTGCGCCGGGCCCGTCTCGAGCGCGGCCTGTTCCGATCCACGTCGCCAATGCGACTGCCCCGCTTCGATCCCCCGAGCTCGGCCACGCCGGGCTCGCCGCACTCCAGCCGCCTCGCCGCCCGTGGTGCACCGCGGCCGGCACGCCGGGAGCCCGCCCTCTGGGGCATCGGGACTTTCTCCGGCCGCCCAGCGCGCCGCCCGGAGCCTGCCACGCCGCCCAGGGTCCGCCGGGCGAGCCGGGAGCCCGCACTCGCCGACGTCCTCAGAATGCCCTCGCTCCGGCTGCCTCGCCGCCCCGAGCCCGCCCCGCCGCCCCGGGTTCGCCGCTCTCGGCCTCGGAACCGGGTGGTCAGGCCGGGCTCCCCACCCTCGGAGCCCGGCCCGCCGCCCCGGGAGCGCCGTGCCGCGGCCTCCTCCCCAGGCCGGAGCCGCCTCGCCGCGCCGAATCGCCACACTCGGAGCCGCCTCACCACGCCGAGGTGGCCGCGGTCCCAGCCCGCCACACCACCCCGGGAGCGCGGCGGCGCGCCGCGATCTCTCAGCCTCGGGCTCCGGGCCCGTGTCAGCGGCCCGGGCCAGCCTCTCTGGGGCAATGGGACCACCACGCTCCGAGCCCAGCTCACCGTGACGGGGTCGGCTCGCTCTGCGGACCTGGGCCCAGCACACTCGGAGCCCGCCTCACCGCTCCGGCCCCGGCTTACCAGGGCGCCCCCGAGCCCACCGCAGCGGCCCAGGACGGCCTCTGTCCGGGGGCCCGGGCGCACCACACTCCGCGCCCGCCTCACCGTGACGGCGCCGCCACTGGCCGCGGCCTCGGGCCCACCGCGCTCCGAGCCCGCCTCACCGTGACAGGCCGGCGGCTGGCTGGGGACCCGGCCCCGGCCCACCCGACTGTCACCGAGTTGGCCTCATCACGACGCACCGAGGACCACCACACTCCGGGGAACTAGGCCCACCCTTGGCCGAGCCTGCCTCCCCGACCTGCGACCACCACAGTCCAAGCTCACCTGACCGTGATGGGACTGGACCACCGCCCTCCTGCTACCTCAGCCCCCCGGCTCCGCCGGGACCGCGCTAGACCCCCCGACTTTCGGGCCGCCTCAGCGGATTCCTGGGGCGGAGGCGGCGGCAGCGCACAGCCCGAGCCCCAGCGAGCCCGGGCCTCCAGCTGTGGGTCTCCCCTCGGGGGCTTGTCGTGCCCGTTACTGTGGCTGCCCCTGCACCCCATGTCTTACCCCTCTCTACCCAACGCTCCCCGCCATCTAATGCATCGTCTTTACGGAACCGCCTCTGAGACTTCCATTCTGGTTACTACAGATGCCCCCCACCCCAAAAGTAAGGCTCTAACCCCCAAAGCCAGTTAGTACACTCCCGCAGCTCGAAGGCTTTGCTTCGGTGCCACCTGCTCAGTGACACTCGTTCTATTTAATAACTGGGAGCTTCGAAGAATGCACGGAGACGTGCTCTCTCAATTCCTTTCCTCGGTGAGATCCCTGCACACATCTTCCTGAGCCTCCCGCACGGCACGCACGCACGCACGCCCCACTACGTTCCTTTGCTTCTTTCCCGCAGCCATTGTACCCTAACATAGACGTGTTCGTTTTTAGCATACTGTACCCACCGTACCAGAATGTAAGCTTCAGGAGAAAAGGGATTTGTGTCTGCTTTGGCGATGTCAAGTCTTGAATAGTACCTAGATACCTAATTAGCATGTGAGCATTTGTTAGGAATATGTGACTAGTGACAGGCTTTGTTTTAGATGTCCTTGTTTGCAACCTTTTACCTAGTATAATGAAATACAGCATTCATTGAACTAGTCCCCACCCCCACCCCAGTTTAGACGGTTTTAGCGTATTTTCCATGATATACAATGCTAAGTAAAAATTAATGTATAAATATCTACGTAGGAAAACTAGGTTATGTTTTATGGTGCAGGAATATAATATAGCCCAGTCCTTCTATTAAGAGTCATTGGAGCCCTGATACGCAGTGGGCTAAAACATTGGACTACTAGCTGCAAAGTCAGTGGTTCAAAGCCACCAGGCACCTGTGTTAGAAAGATGAAGTTGTCGGCTCTCCTGAAGACTTAAAATTTCACTCCGTTCTTACAGCTTAGCTATGAATTATAATCAACTAGATGGCAGTGGGTTGGGGGGTTTTTAGTTATTAAGGGTCTTAAGGCCCTTTTGTTACTCCTACAAGAGGATTTCTGTTGTTGTCAAGTGCTTTTTCAAGTCAGTTCCAACTCATATCAACCCTGCATAGGGTTTCAAGGAGCAGCCGGTGAGTCTGCACCTTAAGGTTCAAACCAACCTTATGGTCAAGCTTATCTTACAGCATCACACCAGGACTCCTACAAAAGGGTGGGACTATGCAAAGAAGGTATGGCCCATCAAAGGGATGGGACTGCCTGCTAATAATGCAAATAAAGTGCATGGAACCCTTGGGGAAACTATACCGTGCAAATAAGATGCATGTGGAACTGGAACAATGGGATTGGTCAGTTTTGCCACGCCATTAGGCTTAAAGGGAGGCAATCTCAGAAGTATGGAAAAAAAGGGACTTCTCTATCATCAAGAAGAGTCCTGAATGGAGCACTTTCTTTGAAGTTGGGGTCCCTGGGCTAAAAACCTCCTAGATTCCGAGGGTACAATTGTTAAGATGGTGAGAGATGGCACAGCAGCAGCAAGCACAACAAAGCTCAGTGGCAGAGACAACGGGCTGGACCCAGTCCATAGAGTAAGTAAGGTACCCACAGTGGGCATGCCAACCCGAGAGACCTGAGCATCTTCACACTGAAGGCTGATGGAATGTGGTGCCTTTGCGCACTTACTGGCAGAGCTGAGGAGCTTTGTAACACTACGCTGAGCATGGCCAAGAAGAAACTGTCTTAACTGAAGAACTATATCTGAGTTATTTCTGATCTTGAATTTTGTAACCTGTTACTTCCCTGATAAGCCTTGTCTGAGTTATTTCTGATCCTGAATTGTAATCTGCTATTTCCCTGATAAGCCATGCCATGCCGGAGTTATTTCTGATCCTGAATTGTAACCTGTCGCTTCCCTAATACGCCCCATCTGAGTTATTTCTGATCTTGAATTGTAACCTGTTACTTCCCTAATAAGGAGCCCTGGTAACATAGTAGATTACAAACTGGACTGTAATACTGACAAGGTCAGTAGTTCAAATCTACCAGTCGGTCCATTATGAGTCGGAACCGACTCCGTGGCACACAATCATCACCACCACCACTTTCTGAATAAGCCCCATAACTGTAAGTATGGTCTGAGTTGTGTGGCCACTGCAACCAATTATCAGACCTAGCAGAGAAGAAAGCATTTCATGGAAGGGACTGCTGGTAGTGAGAATTGGTCAAAGGTTGGAGGGTGATTCCTCATAGGAATCAGCTTGGGGCTACTACTACGAATGATAGCAATTCTCTCTCCTCCTTTGTGAAGTTAGGTGAGGAGGTCTGACACTACTGGGTCATTTTTACATCTCCGTGGGGTTTTGTTAAAGTTCACTGCATAAGCTCATCTCATTTCATTTTCCCTGAACTTTTTGAAGCCTATATGTTGTAAGTGCCTGCCAGTCGGTTCCAACTCATAGTGACTCTGTCTAGGGTTTCCAATGAGTGACTGATATGAGTCTGAACCACCAACGTTGCACTTCAAACTAATCTTGCGGTCAAGTGCTTATCCTACAGTGAAATATATATATATATATATATACACACACACATAAAATGTTAAGTGCCATCATATATATTCATATATGTATATAATATATAAACATAGATGTTTTAAATTTTAACAGATATTGCCATTAAGGATATTCCATAAAATCAGGGGAAAGAAAACAATGAGTTATATGCAAAACTTAACCAGATAATCATCTTAAATACCTAATAGAATTGTATGGTCATAAGAAAATTGGGGGGGGGGGAAATACAGGACTTAAAAGGGAAAGATATTTTTAAGATCTTTAAACTTAAAATATGCAAAATCCAGTTGTTGGCCTAGACTGGGCTGCTGTATATTTCTGTGATGTTAGGAATCAGGCTCCTTAGAGTAATGAAGTCACCTGACAAAGCAAACTACAATAGGATGTACTATGTCCTACCCAGGACATAGTCAAAGCAAGAAACTGGTCAAAATGCCAGGCTCTGATGATTAAGCTTAATTAATGCTTTTCCCAGCAGGTACCTTATCTAAGTTAAATGGACTAAAGTGGATACACAATATGTTCTTTCTTAAATTGCTGTTCGGTGCAACTAGTTGGGCCCTAACTCATAGTGACCCCATGCACAACAGAACAAAAGGCTGCCTGATCCTATGCCACCCACAAGGATCACTAACCCTAAGATTAATTAAAACCATAGTGTTAGTAAGAATATGCATCTACTCAATATTTTTACATATTTAAAATATTTAATGTTTTAACTCCAATTCAGTTTCTACATAACAGTACCTGCTTTAGACATGTGATATAGTATTAGAGTATCTAAAAGAACTTTATGTTTATCGGGTTTATGAGTTTAAGCTATTAAACTTGTATGAATTATTAATATCAAAGTATCATTAAGTCAGACTTTAAAGAGAAATATATACAGTATATACAAGGAAGCATGAAAAGTTTGTAGAGAAATTCCATTACCCTTTCCTTCTATTTTTCCATGAACTTTCTGAAGCTTCCCACAAATCATTTTAAAATACGAATATATGAAGATGATTAATTAACAAGATTGGTAAGTGAGACCAAATGTTACTCACAGACCCCATAAAAATTATTATGAAATCTATTAGATTCATATAAGGGGGTTTCCAAAAAAAAAGTTCACGGGAAATTACATTATCTTTCAATTCCATTTTTCCCTAACTTTTTGAAGCCCCCTTGTATATGCAGTATTATTTGTCCTAAAGGAAAACTAATGTATAGCCTTTATAAGTTTAAATAATTTATTATTTTCAAAGCAAAGTTGAAGTTTTAATAGTCTTTTCTTAGTTGAAAAACTGCCCTTGAGGGCACTATGAAATTCACATTTTATCTTCCCGAAAGGTTGACAGTTGACCATCTTCCTATAGCAGACATGTAAGAGTCTGGAAGAGTGTTCTTTTTATCAGGCGCCTTGCCAACACTCTGTTTCACCATTTTTTAATTTCTATCAATTTTACGAGAAAAGGAGATCTTGCGATTGCCTTGACTTGCAATTACACCCATGGCTTACCAAGTCGTACTACTTAGCTGGATTTCTTTGGTGCACTGCGTGGTCTTAAGTTTTTTTTTCCCCAGTTACCATTTTCTTACCGGTTTGAAAGGAGCTGCTGCTCTTGTCAGTACACTGGCATAAGCTGACATATTTTTTTTTTACACTTTTTGTCTAAAATGCATCTAACATGCATCTTTTGTCTTTAAGATGCTTTTTGTCATCAAACTATATAGTCAGGTATATTCCTCGTGTCCTTTATTGATTCTGGTTTCTATTTATATTTTATGAAAATTGTTTCCAATGTTCTATTGTCTTGTTATGTTTAAATCTAATTTATCTGTAATTTCTGTATATGACATGAAAGGGAGATGTCGGTTTTTGTCTTCTAATAGATTAACAGCTTAATTATTTATACCCAATATTTTAGTATACATAGATGTATTTGGATCTATTTTAATACTAACTCTTTGGATCTACTGGGAGCTCCAGTTGTGGTGGTGGTTTTGAAAGTTCTCCTGTTTTTCTTTTCTATCAAACTCCTCTCTAAGAAGTTAGTTTCTCAGGATGTCCTCTCAGAACTATGGGTTTCAATTTTCCACCATGATTCCTTACTTTAGCTCTAGAACTGTCTGATGCGCCCGTACGATTCACAGAACTACACAGCCCTGAATGAGACACAAGCACTGGATTCAGGCTTCAGCATTTAATCCTGCCCCAGCACTTCCTGACCACACAGTCTCTGGCAACTGCTTACCCATGCTGTGTGCTTCTGTTTCATGTTCATTTGTAAAATGGGAGAGAGAAATGGTATCACCTATTTCAAAAGATTCTTGAATGGCAAAATGGCATACTTAAAAGCAACATATATGAACGGGGAAGCCATTTAAGAAACATTCCTCTATCAATAAATACACGAGTCTTCATAAATGGTTAGAAAAAAGTAACTTTATTTACTTTCACATTATACATTTAAATTGTTACCACTTTTAACTTACGAAATACATAGTCCCTGGGTCAGTGAAAATGGTTAAGACAGACTACTAGCCAAAAGGTCGGTGGTTCAAATACACCCAGAAGCACCCTGGTAATCTGCTTCTAAAAGGTCACAGCCTTGAAAACCACGTGGAGCAGTTCTAGTCCATATGCATGGAATCACCGTTAAGTCAGAATCTACTCAATGGCAGCAGTAACATATACATACATAACATATATACATGTTAAACAGACATGAAATTGTGTATGCATAAGATTTTTACAACATTGGAATTTTTCATATAATATAAAGGTAAGTTTACTTACCAACTGAAAGATAGCTCTTTGTCTTCCAATTGTACATGCAAATAGCACTTGATGGCCCACACTGGGAAATTGCCACGTTTCCACAGACATTTATTTTATAAAGTATATTATTTTGGGTATCAACAGCTTCCCATGTGTAACTGGAAAGGAAGAAGAGAAAAAAACAACTTGTCACTGTCAGGACCTATCAATAATTAACACTTCTAGTTTTACATTATTCCAGATAACATCCTTAAAATGACCACAAACTAGGAGGCAGATTCATTAGCAAAAACTGACATTTAAATATGTTAAAGTTTAATAGAAGCCAGGGCAGAACCCACTAAACACACTGCTCTTGATAAATCTGTTCAGAAGCCACCTCAAGATTCTACAATCATTAAAATACTTTCATTCTCCCATTAATTTAAGAATATTAAATCAGGACAGTAATTGCTCTAGAATCACGTTTAATATAATATAGTACACCCTCTCTTCACTTATCAAATATCTCATTACCTGACAATTTACATTCATAACCACAGCAAAAAATCTATGATCCTAAAATTCACACAAATGACATATGCCAACAGTAATGAATATAAAAGGTGTGAGATGAGAGGTAACGTTGGCTATGATGATTAAGGTTAGGTACCAACTTAGCTAGGTCATGATTCTCGGTGGTTTGGCAATACAGAATAATACAATCTGGCATTATGTAATGATGTGGTCATCCTCCATTTTCTCGTTATCAGCCGGGTCTTTAGAATTGGTAAGTTAGGAGAGGGGCTACTATCTTTCTAATCAAGCAGAAATGCTGGAAAGCCAAGGATTGTTGTTAAGTCTTCATTTGTTTTATTAAAAACTGATTTGTGTTGCAAAAGACAGATTTACCTTTTACAACTATAGTCCAGGTCTGAACCGACAAGATAAAGTTGTGCAATGAGACAATTCTCTGATTCAGAACCATACAAAATTTACTTTAGGTCCATTTACTATGTTATAAAGTAATTGGGTAATTGTTAATTCATCAATATGTCCCAATATTTGGGACAAAATAATTTGTCAGTTCCATCAAAATAATTATTCTCAATACTCTACTCTTCCCTGTAAGAATGTTTCCTCCATTTTATAAAGTGGGGAGGAGGAGTAAAACCAGACAAGGAGAAGGGTAACTTTTAGTTCCTTGCAAGATGCAAAACTTAACTTTAATTCAACAGTATTGCTGGAAGGAAGGAAAGGAAATCAAAACCGCTGAGGCGAGGCCTAGTCAGGGGCTAGACAGAAACTGGACAGAGGTGTGACCTGGACGTTTCTAAGACCTGAGACCATTCATAGGAACCAAAGCAGTACCACTGAGTTGAGAACAGAAAGCACTCCCTTGAAGGATAGTTCATTTCCCAGGACTCACCTTCCACTGGGCATCAGGCAATGACTCAGCACAAAAGCCCCCAGCAGCCCACTGCTCCTTGCCTAGAAGTTGTTTCCTGGTAGCTCCAGCCATAGAGGAGCCAGAAGAGCTCTACTGGCAGACAAGGCACCAAGTGTTCCCTTAAACTTAGTCTGAGACCTGATCAAACCCTCCTGCCAAGAAGTCCAGATAGCTAGGCATATGATGTAAGCATTCAGGCAGAGTAGTGGAGTGGAGTTCCCCTGGAGGCTCTGACAGGCACTAAAGGGCCACAAACCTGAAAAACAGGCTGGGGGTCCTGCCAGCCTTCAAAGCACTTACTACTGACACCTCAGCTTCGTCATGGATAATACCTGCAAGTCATCTCCTCCAGTTAAGAGGTTTAGGTCACATGAGAAAAGAACCCAAGTAGCACAGAGAAAGGCAAGTGTTGTCTTGGTCCCTCCGTCACTTTACTCATTTACTTCACATATAGTCAAGTCCTTGCCATGGTGAACACTGGGGAGAGGAAAGCTGTAAGCCAAGCAGACAAAAAGTCCTGCCCTCTTGGAGTGTCTATGCCACCGCTTCCATCGTGAAGTGCGGCTGACCCTGTTTAGGGTTTTCGAAGAGTGACTGGTGTATTTGAACTGTGATATCCCACAGTATCACACCAGGATTCCATATACCACTGAGGAGGGCAGAAAACAAATATGCAAAAAAGACACCAGATGATTCCACCTACTAATAAGGTGCTCTGAAGAAAACAAAATAGTGTCACTGATAGGAAGTGACTGAGGGCCGCTCCAGACTGGGAAATCTTGTTGAGACTGTACTGGCACTGAGACTTGGAGATTACGGAGGGCAGAGGTTGGGGGAAGGTTATTCCAAGCACACGGGCAAGCCAAGCCGCTGCAAAGTTCCTGAGACTAGAATGGTCCACAGACAGGAACAAGAGGGTTGGGAGAGAGTGACAGAGTGAAAGTCCTGGAGATCAGATGGGTCACAGGGGCCTTGCACACAGAGGAAACAGTTGTGATTTTTACACTTGAAACAAAAGAAGGCCATTTAAAACAGATTATTTCCTTCATTTTTTTTTCTTCTTATGGTTTAGGTGAAAGTTTTACAACTCAACAATTTATACATAGATCATTTTACAACAGTGGTTGTAAATATCCGCACTCTCCGTGCTTCCACCCTGGGTTCCCCGTTTCCATGCACCCAGTTTTTCTACCTTCTGATTTTACTTTGGGGCAAATGCTGCCCTTTTAGTCTCCTATAGCTGAATGTTTTGAGGAGCACACGCCTCTCAAATGTTACTATTCACGGTATGGTGGTGGCTGTGTGCCGTGGAGTTGGTCTTTGGGCTGACTCATAGCTCCCTGCACAGGGTTTCCGAGGCTGTAAATCTTTGCGGGAACAGATAGTCTCATCTTTCTCCCACAGAATGGCTGGTAGTTTCAAACTGCTGACCTTAAGGTTAGCAGCCTGACTTGTAACCACTATGGCTGCACAGTGGTGTCTAGAAGTGGGCTCAATTCCATGTTTGAAGGGTGTTTTAGGACCATGGTCTCAGGGGGTTCCACCAGTCTCGAGCAGACCAGTAAGTCTGGACTTTTTTATGAGTTTAAATTTGGTTCTCCATTTTTCTTTTCCTCTGTCTGGGCCCTTCTATTGTGACCTGGCTCAGAGCCGCCAGTCGTAGCTAGGCACCATCTAGTTCCGGTGGCTGGCTAGCGGAGACTGTGTGATTCTGGTTTTCCTTACATTTTTAAGTATTTTCATTTGCAGAGTATCAGTACAACTTTTCTATTGTCCATTGGGGTTAAAAGAAAAAATGCTAAGTCCTTATTCAGTAGTCCTGACGTAGGTTTATCCTGGATTCCAAACATCATATTAAAAAATCTTACCACTGGCATCATTAAAGTCTCTCCCAACCTAAGTACCTGGAAGCTTCAAAAAGTTCTTGGGGTTTGAGGGGGAATGAATTAAAAAACTATGAATTTTTCCACAAATTTTTTGAAGAACCCTCATATGACAAAGGGAAATCAAGTTACAAGTCAACAGGAGAAATCAACTAAAAAAAAAAAAAAAGCCAGAGTATCTACATGCCACCCTTAAAAACAGAACTCAACCTGCTGTTTGCAGGTGTCACTGTTTTAAATTAAGTACATGAAAGGCGTATGTGGGAGGAGGCAAAAAACAAAGAAAGTGAAAAAGAAAAAGAGCTATTGTCCTGATTATTTAGAAATCGGGTTCCTAGAAAGAAAAATGTTTTTTCTATTCAATTCTATTTCTTTTCCCTATTCTCATTTCATATTTGCTTGTCAAAATATATCAAAATGATGTATGAGAGGACCTTTGTCAAAGTACTTTAGTGTTGGCTTGTTTTCAGGGGGTTGAATCAGCAACGCTTAGCAAGGCTATTCTCCTGCTGTTTGGGGCCTTCAACGCCACATGAAGATACTCCTACCTCAGAGTCCTTTCCCTGCGGCAAAACACATGACAAAATAGAGGACAGCCGAGTCGCAGTGACTAACGAAAAAGACTTCCACCAACACAAGCGTTAGAGCTAACAGAAAACTGCCCACTGAACTTCATCACATCACCTAAAAGGAAAGGAGTGACCACAGTTTCAAACTGCACTTCCCACTGCCTCTGCAGGTTGTCTGCACTTAAAAACATTCTGAATCCAATGGACTCTGTTTTCTTTAGAACAAAAATGCCTAAGGTCACATATGAGGCAGCTTCAAAATGTGGAAAGTGAAATTAAATGATAAAGGAATTTCTCCAATAACTTCTTGTAGCATTGTCCGTTGTTAAGTGCAGTTGAATCGGTTCCATCTCATAGCAACCCCGCATAGTGTTTCCAAGGAGCAGCTGGTAAACTTGAACTGCCGACCTTGCAGTTCAAATCAACCTTGCAATTCAGTGCATTAGTCCCCAGCACCACACCCGGACTCATTAGGAACTCAGAAACAGTCACTGAGTTGAAACCAACTTTCTGAATATTCATTTAGCACACTCTAATGTATGCACACTGGTGTGCAGCTGGTTAGATGAAAGAACTCTCTAGATACACTTTTACTAGGAGTAAATAGTTTTTAAAGGCTATTTCATAATAAACTTGAAAGCCATACTGAGTGTATATCTGACAGCACTTTTTAAGTAAATTAGGTATTTGAAACGGGATTCCTTGCCAGAATGAAGACCCGGCCACCAGAATGGCATGGGCCGAAATTAAGCCTTAAAATGTGGTACTGGAAGACGAGCACTGGACTGCAAGGTCAATTTGAGCTGTACGGTTGGTGGTTCAAATCCACCAAACTGCTCCTCAGAAACCCTATACACGGTCGCTATGAGTTGAAACCAACTCGATGGCTTTAAACAACAACAAAAAGTTTAAAGTCATCAGAATTATAGAATCAAAGAATACTTCCAAAAGCAATAAAAATGCATTCTAGACTAAATAAAATTGAACAATATCTCTGAGGAACAGTGAACTTTACTTGAAAGTATGTCTAGTAGAAAAATTCTCGACCTGAAGTGAATATGTACAGCCAAAATGAACTTCTGTTTCAGAATCTAACAGCTAAGTCGTTCAGGTGAGACATACAGAAAAGTCGACCCTCTCACCTCTATTATCTGAGCTTATACCAATGAAGGAAGAGAAGAAGGCTTACTCCCAGGAGAAAGTAAGACCTATCTATTCCAAAGAGAAAACTAAACTATAATATTCAAATTTAAATTTTTACCAAGAAAATAATTTCAAGTTATGTGAAAAAGTAGTTTCAACTCAAAACAAACAAACCAAAAAAAAAAAAAAAAAACATGTTTAAAATATCTCTTATTCAAGAAACTGCAGCAAGATTGCTAAGAAAGCTCTGGACATTTTCTTGAAATTCTCATATAGGTGTTAAGTTTTTTGTGTTTGTTTTTTGTGTATTTTTTAGTCACTATGATTCTGTTATATTCTATCATGTAATGTATCTGGTTATAAAGCCACAAAGAAAGGGAGAAAAATAGAAGTCTGAGGAAATCGAAGGAATACAAAATCCCAAAGCAGCAGCCTGACATCTGGATGTATTCCCCCCCAGAATCCCATCCCATTAGCATTGTGAAATCCAGTTAATTCTTCCAAGAAGGAAGCCTAATCCAGGTTAGAACTGCTCTTCTGAACACAAATCTATCCGTGGAAGGACTCTGGCTTTGGAAATTCGCAAAAACAAGCTAAATCCATGTCACTCTACCTCATTTATCACAGACTGCAAAACAGCTAGCCACCACCCTCTCCTATTCTAAAAAACCAAAGTTCACCTCAAAACTCACACAACAATTTTAAATGTGTGTGTGATACCACAGTAGCCTCTCTCCAGCTGGAGTTCTTGAAGCCCAGCAACACCACACTCAGAACACCGTATCTTCCTCGAAGTCTGATGTCCCCAACACACTGCCACCATGAGATTCCAACAGCCCTCCCACAGGAACATTGACTGGCAGGTGCTGAATACTTATCCGTGGACTGAAAAGCAAATCGGGTCAGTGGAGAAGAAGGGACCCCAGTACAACTCTAGTTTATAGGTGTTTACAGTGACTGAGTCAAAGACCACCCTGAGTCCTTGACACCAGTGCCAGTGTTGAACTCACCCAAGTTCTTCCTCAGCTTTGGAATCAACGATTTCAAGGCTCAGAAAGATTAGCATCTTGCCCAACATGGTACGATTATCAAGTGGCAATGCTAGGGATAAACCCTGATATGTCTGAGCTCGGAGAGCAAGGGTTCACCATCTAAACAAAACTGCTTCATTTACATTCCATTTTTAAACTTTTTTTTTTTTTTTCAATTTTAGAAAGTATTTACTTTCTATTATAATGTTGGAACTGATAAAACATTCCACAGAACTTTATAGAGTTTAAATCTTATCACAATCAATGCCATTAAATGCCAAACTGTAGATGGCATAATGATTTCCAAGTTCCTATTGGACTTCTGGTGTGGGTCTGGACTATATCAGGTTTGAACCGGAAGGTTGTCAGTGCAAGCTCACTAGCTGCCCCACGAAAACCCTATACAGGGTCGCTATGAGTCGGAACTGATTCAACAGCACTTAATAACAACAAAAAATTATAGTGTGTAGTGACACAATGATTCAACAGAATTCTAATAAACCAGGAAAATTAAAGTCCTCCCTTTCTGGGTAGTGGTAACAGGTGTGTTACCTAGTCTAGGCAGACTTTGCAGAGTGACTGACTTCATCTGATGCCAATGACCTCTGAAGAAGCTAAAGCTGTGAATCTTTTCCATATTCTCATGAGACGGCTAGTCTGAGATCTTCCAGTTGTTTAACCTTCTGCCACCTTTTCCTCACACTACAGTTCTGCTTTCCCTTTTGCAGTGTGAATTGCCAAACAGCAGAAGTTGTCTCTCCGGAACCTCTCTCCCCGCACCCAGTTGGTTTCTCTGGAAATAACATCAGTCTGTTTCTTCCCACTGGCTGCACTCTCCTCACAGTCTGTAGCCAAGTTGGGCTGCTGGAGCCCGCTAAGAAGGAGCTCATCTAGACAGGTTTGGTTTTCCCATCTCAGATTCATCCACTCCTTTAAAATGATTACTTGGCTCAGCAGAATGCAGCCATTGGAAAAAACCCTACCAAGGATCCAACAATTGTCATCAATAACCATGAAACTTTCTATCACCAAATAAGCAGCTTCAACAAGAAATGTGAGGAGGGGACCGAAGTTACACACAAGGCGAGTGGCTTTAAGCGATGGTGATTTTTCGCATGAATACTGTGGTTGAAACAGACCCTAGATGTGGGTAATTCATCTAACTGTACGTGCTAAGCACATCGGCTGGATCTTTCCCTTAGTCAAAGGAAGTTTAATACCATTTTCCTCCTGACTATAATCACGTTGCTTCTGCTGAAACTCTCTTGGAATTCTGTAGTCAGCCTACATCTGTTCAGTGGCACAGAGGTTCCATTTTAACCTCGTTTGGTTTAAATTTCATAATATCCTGAAAGATGCTGGCAGATGACCAATTAGAAGAAAGCACACAAGTCATATACTGTCAACCAACCTAGAAGCAGGAAGGCGTTTCTACTTTCCCAATACTGCTCCAACAAATGCCACATTTAAAACCAACTCTGCTCAAGATGAATCCAATCCAGTGGCTGCAATGAAGAAAGAGCAGAGTTAAAATGTCAACTTTTAAGCTATGTAAACCTCACTGGGCAACACAACTGCCTATAATTTAGCAAGCTGACTTAATGAGAAATGCAAGGCCAGCATTACTGAGTAAGTTATAAATTTCTACCAAAAGAAAAAAAAGTTACAAACAAAAAGCCCTCAGGGTACAACCGTACAATATTTAAAAACGATTTTATGTTTCTGCCTTTCAAAGTTTTCCATGTCATTGCTGAATACCTGCAAAACTGCAAAAAAAAAAAGTAGATTTTGATTCATTTGAGTACTGGTATGGCACTGCAGGTTAATGAAGTGGGCTGCAAGGTCAGTTTGAACTGCAATGTCAGCGGTTCAAGCTCATGAGCTAAAGTGTTGTTGATGTTGAGTACCATCAAGTCAGTTCTGACCCACAGTGACTGTGTAACAGGGTTTCCGTGGAGTGGCTGGTAAGCCTGACCCACCCGCCAACCTGGCAGTCCAGCGCATTAACCCGCAGTGCCACACCAGGACTCCATCTAAAGTCTGTTGTTGTTGAGAAGTGCCGTCGAGTCAGTTCCGACTCAAGCGACCCTGTATAGGGTTTCTGAGGAGCACCTGGTGAGTTTGAACTGACAAACTCACCTTGTGGTCAAGTGCTTATCCTACAGCATCACACCAGGCCTCCATCTAAAGTAGAGCATACAAAATGCAATTATAAAATTGATGGTGTGTCCAATCAAAGGGGGAAAAAAATCTTAGAAAACCTGATTCCTTCCCTCCAACACAAAACATGTCCATGAACTGTAACTCTATCCTTTTGTGTATCATCACATATCCGAGCGATTTGGAAACATCTCAGTTCCCTCGCTCCCTGTGAGCCATGGGTTTTATGGCAGTAGTCATGTGGCTATTAAACAATTTACTACTGGTCTATAATTATCAGTATATAAAGCAGGATAGAGGCACAGTGGAATCTGTAATAAAATAAAACTAATAAATGTGTGAATCTATAATTTGGCTTCCTTTAAAAAATAAAAAATATATCCCTGATGGTGCTGTTCAAACTAAATGTACAATGTACAGTCACTGGCTAAAGGAATATTTTCTGAATCCAGAGTGAGCAACAAATCTAAAGCTTTAGGGACAATGGGAATGCTAAGTCTTTCCAACCTGAACATCCAAAATGATTTTCCTACTTTTGGCAAAGGTCCAAGCACTCAAACAGGATATTCAAGAAGTCATTTGGCTCACTACTGCTCCAACTCACACATGCACTCCACTGACCTTCAAAAAAATCTGGAACAGTATCCTAAATAAAGAAGGGAAAAAAAGCGAGAGAGAAAGGAAGAAAAAGCAAGGAAGAAGGAAGGCATCGAAAGAAAGAGGCAGGACACCCAAAATGGCCTATTTGCAACAGAATGTCAAGTTCATAATGTAACCACTGTTGTCAACAACTTTCTACTGTTGACGCTCAGAGAGAAAAATCTGATTTGGGTGTGATGATCTAATCTGAAGGCTGGGAGAACACATGAGTTTGACACAGTATGGCCGAGCTTATATAGGAAGTCATTCACTTCCTATTTTAACAAACCCACAAAGCTGTGTATAAAGATATGAGGCCTGCGGAAAAAAAAGAAGAAAGAAAAGAAAAAGCAATGGGTACGGAAGCAGCAGACGCGAAGTCTTTGGTTTTCACTAATGGTGTTAGGCAGGATTTAGAAGCAGGACACCAACAGTTCAGTAGAAAGAGGTCAAGGCTAGAAGCAAGGCTCAAGTCAGCCTCAGAGCCAAAGGCACCACCAGGAGGAGGTGATGGTAGGAGCCAACAATGGTTCTTAAAAACAAGCACTGAGAAGGAGCGGCTGAGTGAACTTGAAATAGAGAGGTGAGGTCCCCCTAAACGGGCCACGTAACTGCAGAGCAAGTTCAGGCTAGACTCCGAATCCCAGCCCCACCACTGACCAACCATGTGGAACGCGCTTTATCTCTCTGACCACAACTTCCTCATCTATGAAAGGGAGCTACCCTCCAAGGTCAAAGAGAGACTTTTTTATAATAGTCTAAGTGTAGACTATGCTCTAATGTTATCATCTGGATGAACAGAAATTTCAAAATGCTGAGTTTACAAAAAAAAAAAAAAGAGAGAGATACATTAGAGAGACTCCCAAAGGAATGTCACCTGACAACAATACAATGCTGGAAGGCAAAGGGTGGCACTTGTAAGGAATTAGAGAAGGAATGAGCTGCAAGCCATTGCCTTGGGCCATCTCCACAGAGCTGGTGGAGCTGGACTTCAAGGGACCACATGCAGACACACACTAGCAGCCTCAGGGAATTTCTCAGGAAAGATACCACAGTCAGGTCTAGCAGATCCTGCACCATGCAGCCACCAACTGCCAAAAGGACAGAGGTCAGATAAATCTGAAACTTCGGGCAGAGCAACAGGAGACGACAGGACACACTAGAAATGTTTAATTGTGAGATTTTTAGTCAATTGGTAGGTGACCATCTACGGAAAACATCTACCAAAAGCCAACGAACCCAAGCCTGGACATCAGAAGCCGCCTGTCCTACCTTAGTTCTATCCAGGCCTGCTGAATGTTTTCACACAGATCAACTCTCTGGCAACAGGCTTTTTGTTTCTCGTCTATACAAAGAAATTTTATAGGCTAAGTCCCCTTCTTAATTAACTGCTTTAAAGTCAACCCAGCCATAACAATGTGCTCTGTCCCTAGTCTACCTGTCACCAGCACCCTTCCTTTGGAGCCCAAACGACAAGGGCAGGTCTTGCCTGTTCTCATGTCTGGACCAGTCAGCTCAGCTGATGAGTCTCAGAAGGCTAATTCTGAGATCAAGGTCAGGTGCTAGTTCTTCACAAAGGCCAATTCAGTTGACACAGGAGGAAAATGTCTGCTTTGAAGATGCTGGGGTCAAATGACAAACTGGCACAAGTGGCTCTGCAAAACCCAAGCCTCTGCGTGTGCACACACAGAGCACACCCCTCGAAGGCCAAATCCATGCTCCCCTGTATGCATTCAGAAAACAGCAACATGATTTCACCTAGTCCTTAAAAGCTGAGCAAGTGCATGCCCTGCACAATGCTAAGAGGCTTGCAAGCATGTCATCAACCTTCACACCAGTCTTTCAGGGCAGATACTGCTGCAGACACCAGCGCTTTGGAGGGTCACACAATCAGAACATGGCAAAGCCAGTATCTGAACAAGGACTGTGTAACTGCAGCCTTTACTATCACTACACTAACTACCTTGAGTCCTGGTGTGGCGCTGCAGGATAATGCACTGGACCCCAAGGTCGGTTTGAATCGCTAAGTCAGAGGTTCACGCTTAACCAGTCACTCCTCCGAAACCCTGTACAGGGTCGTTATGAGTCATGAGTTAGGAAGACTCAACAGCACTTAACAACAACAAAGCAGCTACCCTGAACACTATAAAACCCAGCTGTTTACTGAATTGCTACTCTTCACTGAGGAAATCAGAATACCCACATATTTTCCCTCACGTCTACCAAGCTACTTGCGTTTATTGCAATA